AACCATTGTAAGCTTTTCAAAAATGTTGTTTTCGAAATTTTTATTGATTATGTTGGTCATGTACTGCAATGCATTGATTGAGAAGGTTCCTACATCAAGGCATTTATTGTTTTTGGTAAACTCTACCTAATATATCTCGGAGAAAAATATGTTTTCGGCTGAATTAGTTGGGCTAATATGTTTTCAGCTGAATTAATAGAGTTTTAGTGGAGTTTTTCCTTTGTGTTACAGGTGAATTAGTGGAGTTTTTTCCATGGGGACAGTGAAGGGTTGAATATGGTTAGCATCAACAACATAACGTATTTGTCAAACCTGGACTTATGGTTTGGCTTCTGTATATGAAGGAATTAAAAGATTGAAATTATTGTTAGGCTTGGACTTATGGTTTGACTTGTATACATGAGGGGTTAAAGATTGGAATTATTGTTTAGCTGATGGACCTGAAGGGTTAAAAGTTCTACCTATGGTTTGGCTGGTTTCGCTCTTCTAAAAGAAGAATGAAGAAAGAAAAGTGTGGCTTCAACCAGGGCGGCGGAGTACTCATACAAATGGAAAAGAATATCTCTAAATAAAAAAAAATGCTCCTCAACAAGATTAGGACAATAGATTACTCAAACATTTAACTTGAATATGTGCTAGAGTGATCCAAAACTCACCTAGTTGTAGGTGTGCTCTTCGACCAGATTAGGGCAACAGATTACTCAAACGTTTAACTTCAATATGTGCTAGGGTGATCCAAAATTCACCTGGTTGTATGTGTGCTGATCCAAAACTCACCTTGAAAGATGTCTACCTATATTATAGTGAGCTACACTATATAAAGCAATTTGTTTACTGGTTTTAGACGTAGTTTTTTGTTTTTAGTTTCTAATAAAGATTATATTTTTATATTATAAAATTTTTCATCTTTTGTTTTTTTAATTTGAATATCTAGAGCTTAGTTTTTTCTTTTGTAATTTCCTTAATTACAAAGGTTTTCTAGTTTATTAACTACAATTTATATATTAAATGAGAAATGACCATGTGAGGCCCTCCCATGTATGTAGGACTTCAAAAGATTAAATTTGGTACAGATCTCTAGAAAAGTCAACTGACATGCGATAACTTTTCTAGTGATATGTGTCAAATTTAATGGTAATCCTTTGAGGTCCTAAACATATGGGTGTGAGAGGGTCTCATATGATCATTACTCATATTAAATAGTCTAATGTCGGTTAGATTTCTAAACCAAACTAGGATTGGGGTTAACAACATGTCTTAGGCCGAGTCCACGAAATGAAGTTAAGTAAATGAATAAAGAATGGCTTCTTGAAACTTAGTTTTTGGACTCTATCACTTGGGCGCTGATTTTTTGTCGTCTGATAATGCTGACTCTGCACGAAAGACCTAATGGTGCCCACTCCATATAAAATTTAGGTTATCTTCCTGGTTCCTGTGCAGTGATTCTATTATGCAAGTCTAGGGACCCTACTCTTTTGTGGTGCTCATAGTATGAAAACTAATATTGTTTGATGCTGAGTCTATACAATTTTAGAGAGCCTCCTCTTTCAAACAGCCACTACCTCAACAATCCTACAGTTCATCACATATGCCATTCCCTTATAAACCCCAGTCTAGTATTTTAATCACTCACCACCCTAGAACCACTTTGGTAGGCACCATTCCTTGGTCCTACATTATGTGTTGCTCTTACTTTATTCAGGTCATGGTCTTACTTGAACAGCTTTATGGATGAAAAATTAGTGGTCCATTTTCAAGATTTTCATATGTTTATAGATCGATTTGATTTTAATCATATTTAGAGTTTAAATTTTATAACTAGATATGAAAATAGATTTTGAAATAATCCTAAAAATATTTTACACCAAAATTACATGTTGTGATAAAATTTGGAGGTGCGCCTTAATTGGATTGTTTAAAGTTACAAGCTTATAGAAACCACGTCCTTACTTGTTTTATTAATATGGAAGTTGCTTTTTATAGCTAAAAACAAAACTGCCAAGGAAAGGCCTCTTATAATGCTTGCCCCATATGGAGGTCTTACAATAATGAAGACTTTTATTCAGGGGCGCAGTTGGCATACGGATGCATCTGTAGTTGTAGAGGTAAGGTGCACCTTCAAATTTTATCATGGTATATAATTTTGATATAAAATGTTTTTAGGATTTTCTCAAAATCTATTTTTATATTTAATTATAAAATTTTAAATGGATTTTGTTAGGCTACACCACTTGTAGTGTAAACCCCTTAAAGTGCTCAACATTTTTAGATATTTAAATGCTCTTGTCCTATAGTATAATAACTTTTTGTTTAGGGGTATTTTTTGTAGTTAAGTAGGGGTAAACTAGAAATTCTTAATAGAAACAAAAATATTTATTAATAATAGTGGACAATGACATCACCCATATGGTGGGTGACATCACTCACAAGATGTAGTAATTATTTTTAACTACTAATAGAATGCCACTATTTTTTGAAAAAAAATATCCATTCTACCCTTTTGAAATGACAAAAAATGCCTTTATCATATAGTATAGTAACTTTTTGTTTAAGAGTATTTTAAGTAATTAATCAAAAGTAAATTGGAAATTCTTAATAAAAACAAAAGCTTTTATTAACAATAGTAGACATTGATATCACCGATATGGTGTGTCACGTCACCCACAAGATATATTAATTATTTTTAACTATTAATAGAATGTCACTATTTTTTTATAAAAATATCCATTCTACCATTCTAAATGACCAAAAATACTTCTATTTGAAAAATTTTATATTACAATTCAAAGGTATTTTAGTGTCAAAAAATGTTGACCACTTAAAGGGTCTACACACGACCAAGTGGTGTAGCTTAACAAAACCCTAACAAAATGAATCTTTAAACATTGTATGAATTAGAAAGAAAGTTTTGAAATAGATAAATTATTTACTATCGTATTTAAACTTTTATTTTGGGAAATTTATGCTAATATTTATTATAACTTGAGGAACTGAAAAAATATCCCCAATATTTGATATTTTAGCCCCATGTCCCTTTTTTTTTATGTTCTTTATTTTTTCCCAAAGTACTCCCGGTTCGGAACACTTCAAGCTCCGAATGGGTTCTTCTTCTGTAACTAAGCTCAAAAATGAAAGTGAAGGAGTAGTTTAGAGCTTTAAGTTCCGAACCACCCTTTCAATTGGCCCCGGATAAAAACATGTGTAGTGCTTCTATGGGAGCACATCATACACTTATTCATTTTTAAATTGAAAATCTAGATTTTTCTCACTTAAAAACAATTGTTGTGTGACTCTAAAATGGATCTAATATTATGATGTGCTCCTGCAGAGCACCTATCTTAGGATGAAAAAAAAAAGTGTGGGGTGCGCCATGACGCGTTCTTTTGTCACAGGTCATTTTGTAGGAGCACACTGTGCACTTGCTCCATTAGGTAAAATAATTTTTTTCTTGATCTAAAATTTTTGGGATATAGTTTAAAATCACTTAATGATTATTGGATGCAGTTTGTATAGAGCCTAGGCTCTAACCTTCACATAGTGTCAAGAAATGTGGTTTCAACACTGAAAATCTTTGCGATAGCCTTAAAATATATTTTCATTTTTATTTATAAAGTATAAAGCTTAAAAAATAGCGTAGTTCGACATATCTATGAAAACTTGAAAAATCTTGAAAATTGACGGTCCAAAAATGTAATATAAAATATACTATTTTCAAAACTTGAAATCCATTTTTTTCTCATGTCCATGCATCTTGATGTCGATTCGTGGCACCGATCCATTTTTTAAACCACTGATCTCGTTCAATACTTTTTCTCTATTTAGAGTGAAACTATTTACCATTAGTATAAGAAGGACGTAATTACATGTATCTATTCGGAGGCGAAATTTAAAAATGATCTTATAATAAAAAGAAGAAGAAAAAAAAAGACGTAAGTAGGGATTTGGCCGGATGGGAAATTTAAGAAAATCCTAAAAAAAAAAAATAGTAGGATTTGGGCCCGTACCCTTCCAATGACAGTGGAGTTAGAGACTTCATCACATAGCTCGTTGGTACTACTACAAGGTTGGACACATTGTCGAGTCGGCGAGGCAATTTAAGAATGATCTAACCAATCAAAATTAGACCGACTACAAAACCTTTAATATAGGAAAAATTACAAAAAAACCCCAAGATTATACTTTCTATATAATTTACTCTCGGTTTAACTTTTTTCCTCACTTTTTTTTTTTTTCCAAAATACACTTTTAATACCGAAACCCCAATAAAATAAAAAATAAAAAAACCTAAATTACCTTTTGTTTATTTTTTACTTTACCTATACCTCTGTCTTCTATTCTACCAAAATAGGGTATCTATCCCACCAAAATAGGGTACTGTATGAGTGCCGTCTATCAGTAAGGCGCTTACTTTGTTAGTGTGTAAAACGTGGTTTGACAATAGGGCTCTCGCATTTTGTGTACACAAAATGCGGTTCGGCAGTATGCGGCAGTAGAGACCCGACCCGACGTTATGTAAGTGCAAAAAGCTGTGCGACAGTAAATGTATCTGAATTTCAAAGTTTGTCATTATATAAGAAGTGGTCCGTCGGTACTCATTTTTGGTTCGGTAGTTGTAAGTGATACGGTTGTTATTTTGAGGCGGTCCAGTAATTTTGTGTGCTGCCCCCAATATGTTATTTGGGTCCAAAATGTCAACTCTTGTTATTTTGAGGCGGTCCAGTAATTTTGTGTGTTGCCCCCAATATGTTATTTGGGTCCAAAATGTCAACTCTTGTTATTTTGAGGCGGTCCAGTAATTTTGTGTGTTGTCCCCAATATGTTATTTGGGTCCAAAATGTCAACTCTTGTTATTTTGAGGCGGTCCAGTAATTTTTTGTATTGCCCCCAATATGTTATTTGGGTCCAAAATGTCAACTCTTATCGAAATGATGGGACGTTGTGAATAAAGATATTTTTGCCATACCTAAATTCCATCGAAAAGTTGGTTTACAATGGAAAAACAAAGTTTGGCAGGGGAAAGTGCCGTGGTGCGTCTCTTTAAAATATCCGCTGCGATCGTACTCTCAGCCCGATTGCTGCAATTAAGAGTGAGTGAGAAGACGTGCGTCCTGTCCCTTCCCTTCATAATGCTCTTATCCTAAAACAACTTCCACCTCTCTTCAGTGAAAGCAGATATATAAGGCTTTCAGATGATTAAATTTTGTTGCTGTTGGACCTCCTTTTTGGCCATATTCATGGAGCAAGAACCAGACGATTCCATGGTTTCTTCAGAGCAAGAGCGACATACAGAGGAAGAAATGGTCTCGTTATCTTCTATTTTACCTGATGAATTGGTGACTAAGATCCTTATTTCATTGCCGGTGAAGTCCATATGCAGATTCAAGGTAGTCTCACGACCATGGCAAAGCTTGCTCTCATCTTCCCACTTCGCCATTACCTTTTCTCTTTCTAACACTCGTTCTCTCTTCCTCCAAAACAACCAAATGTTCTTCGCGAGTGCTGAGAATATTAACAATCCTTCTTCGTATACGAAGACAGCGTTTCAGCATCAAGACCTGACCTCCATGGCCTGCCATAATGGCATTGCATGCTGTCTTGTGAAATCAATCATACAGGACGGGTATTTCAGAAGGGATTCTTTCTTTACTGTTGGAAATCCCCTGGCTCAAAAACAATTCATGGGTCTTCCAAGGCTAGCATTTGGAGTGCAGAAAATATTTGGATTTTACTTTAACCCAATTGATAAAAAATTTAAGATTTTGGTCGGTACCAGAAAGAATTGTTCCTGTTTAATCTTTGATTCATCAATTGGGAGATGGAGGCGGCCGAGAAACCAACCAAATTTCCGAATACATACCCCATGGTTCATGGTTTGTGTGGGTTTTACTTGCTATGTACTCTGTAATGGAGAGAACGAGCGCCATTTACTTGCTTTAGATATGGAGACAGAAGAATGGGAAATAATCCTTACTCCAACACGGCTTAACGACAAGGATTGCTCTTATCGCATCCATGAGAGGGACAGTTGCCTTTGTCTGATACAGGTAGGTCCACATTCTCAAGAACAAGCGCATGCTTGGCTTTTAACAGAAGGGAAGAAGTGGGTGGAAGTGATGAATGCAGATTTGACATCACTGTTGTTTAAAAAATTGGGGCGATTGGGGGTCTATGATTTTTTTGCATCTGCAAATCTCTTCATTGGTGACATACTACTTATCCACATCCAGAATCGCCGTCCTGTGAACTTTTTAAGCAACACCAGTGTTGGGATAACATATAATACAAACAATGCCCGATTAAGCGAAGTGATTGAAGATCCAAATATGAGCTGTGTTTTTTTGAATCGATCAAGCTTGTTCACTGCCGAGAAGAAGAATGGCGAGATACATATAGGGTAGTTTGTAAAGTAGGTTTATTTCCATTACAATTGAAATCTTTTGTTTGATTTTAGTTGTCTTTCGTTCTGTGATAAGATATGCAGGAGATTTTTGTTCTGTGACTTGCTTAGCCTTGTTGACTAGTGTGAGTAGGTTGAACTCTTCTAGGTTTCTTATTTCATGGAGATGTTTGCTGGTTTTCTACCCACAACCTCACTTAACAATCATCTTCCATTCATGGGTTCGAGGCCAAGTTTTGTGTGAGCTCAAAAGGAAGTTTGTGTTACATGTTAGATCTGGTATTCTCTAGCGGTTCTTGACTTGGTGTAGCAATATTGCAATGCTTTATGAAGATGCAAATTGTTTTGGTACATTGCTTTTCATTGGGTGCAGTTTCTTGTATCTGAAATATGAGATTCTTTTAGATTTTTCTGTATTTTTGTTTTGTTTGTTTTGTTATTCATACTCATAGCTGCCCTGTTATTGCATAATTGACTTGTGTTGAAATATTTGATAATATCATTACACATAGTTTGCAGTGTAAGAGCATTATACATTAGTAGACATTGATTAAAAAAGGTATGTAGATCAAGGGTTTTATCATTTTTTATAACTCGAAGCCTAATATGCATACCGATATGAATTGAAGTAAGTTTTTGAAGCAAAATCCTGCAGTAAGCTATCAAGCTCATTTCATTTGTGAATAGAGGGATTGAAGTAGAGCGTTCATAACTTTTATCTTATTATGGTTTGATAAGCCAATATTAGTTAAGGATGGGATTAATTCGTGAAAAAAGAGAAAATACTCTTTTTTGTTTTGTTTTACACGCTATGAAAATTGAATTATTGAGGTGTACAACTTTTTCTAAGTTCATTGTCAAAGTTTACTTGAAATTGCTATATGGGTTAAACACAGATTCTTGCAATCCATCTTGGGCATGCTCTTCAGCCCCTTAAAATCTTCCACCCATTTTAAGTCTTAAGCGATGTCCTAAAATCAGCTCTGTAGTGCAGTGTATTTCCGGCTGATTTCTTTGAGCTTCTTCTCTCTTCCCTTTTTTCATTATACTTAAAAGCTAGCCATGTTTTCTTCCTTTTGCTACCTCTGGAGCATAGTTAGATGCTATAAGGTAATCATACTCTTCCACTACACACCCATAGCCATGTGAAGAGTGGCCAGTTGGATCAACTGTCTTTGGATTCAATTTTTTTTGCCCATTTCCACACCTGGTTTAATGAAAACATTACTCTGGGATTTCAGGTTAGAGGAGGCACTCTTTGAGTGAAGCTCACATAGCCAGGACTTACGGGTTGCGTATGATGGAAGAGTGGCAGTTGGGAAAAATGGTTCTTGATGTGAACATCGGTTGAGTGTTAATTTATTGACAGATCCATTCACTTGTGAAATGGACGAGTGCATTCTGGGTTGTTTAGTAGGTAGGGTTATTTTTGTTACTCTTATTTTTTAATTTATTAAGATTCGAGAGCACAAGCACAGATCTGGGTATTACATGATTGTGAATAGAAGAAGTGGGTGCAATAGAATGCAGTTTTGAAGCAATTGGTATTCAAGAATTTGGGAGGAGTTTGGGTGGGGGATCAATGATTTTCGAATTTTTTCAAACTTCTGGATTGATGACAGTGTACTTTGGTTGTCTGGGTTAGGGAGAAGTTGTTTTGAGTGGCTTGCGGGGTGGTGACCATGGCATATAATGGAAAGACAGGTTACTTAGGCAGAATTGTTGCTCGACTGATTTCTGCTGCTTTACAATATGCCAACTCCTCTCTTCACTTGTGAGTTGGAATAGAAGGGAAAAAGCCAAAGATCATAGAACCTTTTCTAGGAGTATTTTTGGGACCTCAAATTTTGGGAACATACCCTCTAAGCGACCAACTTCATAAAAGAAAAGAAAAAAAAAGTTTCCACGCAGTATAGGAAAAATCGGGCGATTCAAACTGGAACCACCTGGTTAGAATGGCCGGTTTTGGTGAACCGGCTTGGTATTTTAAAATTTTCAAAAAAATTATATAAAATCCCCAAAAATAAGGTATTTTGTTTTCAATGTATTTTTTAATTTTTCATCATTATGGGTGTAGATTGGAAATTGTTTTGGACATTAATATTTATTTTTATATTTTCTCATCTTTTTTAAAAATTAAAAAAATACCTCGTCACAAATTGATTGTTTAAAATCCATCGTTTCCCTTAATTTTTAACTTCATTGAATGTGCTTTGTTTGGTCATGCTTTAAATATACATTTCATATTTTATTAGATTTTTTTTGTATTTTTTTAACGCTTTTTTGATGGCCCGGGACTTGCCTGGTTAGGCTGGTTGAACCGGCCGGTTTACCGGTTAGTTCCGAGTAACTGCTTCTTGCCCCATGTTCGGTTAATTGTTCCGGTTCAATTTTTCTTTTACCGGTTCCACACGCACTAGAAAAATTGTCCTAATATTGAATGGGGAATGTCCATTTTTTGGTTGGTTGGAACAAAGAGGTCGGAAACTCAAAATCCAAATTTTTTTTCTTGAAATACTCATCTAATAATTATAAAGTCGATTTAAAAAATCTGATTGAGAAACTCTTCCTCAGTAATCATTCTGCATGTGGGAATACACGTGCACTATGCTTCCATAGGAGTAAGTACACTGCTACAATGGAAAAAATACATACTGTTGGATAGTTTATGAGGCTGAATTATCTTTTTCTCTTTCGTAACTTCTTGTTTTTGTGGCTAAATGCCTTGCAAAGGTCTGGTGTTTTAATTGGTCAGGACCAATTCCAGGATGGTATGGTTCTGGCCAGGTCCCCCTTAAAACCCCGATTTATATTTTTCTCTTTTTTTTTAAGTTTATTTAATATTTTTTAAGTCCTCTAAAAATCCTCAACCTATAAACCTCTAGTTTGGTTTTTATTTTATTTTATTTTTTTTAAAATTTTTAGGTCACCAATTCAGAATGATTTAGACCCCATTGGGTAGTAGATCTAGTGGCACCTTGCCGATCTGTGGGTGAAGATACACCCTAGCGACCCACGTTTTGAAACACGGCAAATTTTGCTAATGTAACCAAGGAAATTTATGTTAGGCTTCTATACTTAATGAAAACCAAAAATGCTATGGAAGAAAAAGGTAGTCCTTGTACCATGGGCAGGAGATAAAACACTCTTTCTTTAAGTTCCTCTTTGTTGACTGGAAGATTTCTAAAAGCTGCAAGTTCTAGATTTCTAGAAGCTGGATTTTTTAATGTCTGCAACTGACAAATGGTGTGTTTGATAACCTGGGATATTCTGGGTAGTCTAGGAACTTGTTTGTCTGAACTTGAAATTCTAGAAACTTGAAGATCTGAAAATTAAGCAGTCTTAAATTTCATATGACCATCATCAATGGTATTCAAGTTCAGAATAATATATACATAACCCATTTAAGGTATACAACAAACTGGGAGTACTGTCACTTGAGAAAAAAATGGACAGCAATTCTCAGCTCACAAGAAGAAACCTGACTTTTCCTTTCAGAAATGCTAAACATCAATTATCTCCTTGCAATTTGCATTGACCAGCATGCTCTAAATTACAAAACCATGGTGAAGACAATTAACAACATTCAACGTAAAACTCATGTTAAAAAAAACAACACGAAACTGCTTAATAACTTGGAGGCACACACTACTTGGGTGACGATTTGTGGTCAAGACGGGTGGCGACGACCTGATCCAGAAGAAGCTCACGCCAAAGCAGGCACGGTAGCGAGGCTTTTTTGCTGAGTTTAATATGGTGCTTGAGTATAAACCTGGACAGACCAACCAGGTGGCTGATGCCTTTCAATAGGAAGGCAGAGTTGCCGGCACTTTACTGTGAAGAAGTGGCGGCCACCAGGAAGCTTGAAACCATTGGCTAATAACCGCATCAAATAGGGGGCAAGCCCAAAGGCTTAGATTTACTTTACTTTTCTTAATTCAACTTTGATCTCACTCGTCATGTAATAAAGGTCATATTCATGCCATGCTTGCTTCTTGACTCACAATTTAATTACCAGATTGTGCTAATTACGTCGGACTAATTTGGTCACACGTCTTTTGTGATCCAACTTCTGATAACCAGAACTTACAGACTGAAATAGCATCTTGCAAATGGCAGGACCGAGTATCCTCAGGCATGGGTGCATCTAAAATGGTGTCAAAGCAGCTCAGCTGTGATGAACGAGTGGAGCCTTCCTAAATTTTAGATGAAAGCAATGTGGACGGCTCCTTTGTCATCTTAGAATATGTTCCCCTGCAGCATACACAAAATGAGCTAAATGTCTAGATGTCTAAAGTTGGGGGCATATTAAGTTATTTGTACCCACAAGAATAGGGCAAATGAAACTACTCTCCCTCTCTCTCTCTCTCTCTCTCTCTCTACTATTATATATATATATATATATATATATATATATATATATATATATATATATATATATAATTAGTAATAGTAGTA